AATATTAAAGCACACAAAAATATACATACACACACACACACACCACCACCACCACACTACAACAACCAAAAAATCAGCTATAGATGCTAAAAGCATAGTTTTTCTCTTTTCTTGTGGAAACAAAGAGAGCATGAAAACTTAATTTATGCTAGCTAAATTGCAAAGCACGCACTTCATTCATGATGCTGCATGGAAGATCTGCCGCTAATCTCCATTAGGTTGCAGTCAGAGGACTTGGACTTGGCCCTCTTTCTGAGGCTTCAGGTGGCTGAAATGGATGTGCTTCTTATTCAGAGAGGAATATTTTAACTACTTCAAAAAAGAAAGCCAGTTTTCACAAAGCATTTCATGCCAAGCATGGCTAAAGGTTTGTGAGGACACAAGAAATCCTTGATGGATAGATTCAGAACCCATAGTTTGTGATGACATCTTTGCCCTGGCTTTGTAACTCTGAAAGTTGATGAGGATGGGCTGTGCTTTTATATGAACTTTTCTTCTGGTGTGATGAGGGTCACCGTGTACAAGGGCCTTGGTTACAAGTGATCACATGGCTCCTCTGCAAGGTCATTTGGGAAAATACATCTACTCATTATGCCCAAGAAAGCAAAAGTTTAAACTTTTCATTAGAGAAGACACCTTTAGGCTTATTGGTCAAAAAGGACCCTTGGATGAGTTGGCTTGACAGGATCCATTTTTCCATGATCAGGAATCCAGGTGCTCAAAGGCCACTGCACCCATGGACCAGGGGAACCTGGCCATTTCTTGAGCTTGCAGCAGATCTTAGCATTGTCCACATATGCTACTTTTTCTGGTATTCCACATGCAGTAGTGATGAGCTCATGAAGATTTCCTTGCAGATTACAATGGAAGGCCACAGTGGACAAGCCACTTCAGGTGAATGTATGAAGCTATACAAATAAAGCTAAAGATACAGTGGATCCCCCAGGAAGTTAGAGATGCCAGGAATGTGAAGCATCTGCCAAGGGAACCCTCAGAAAGAGAAAGGAGTGAGTGCAAGAATGTGTGGGTACAACAAGCAAAGAAGTAGATGTTAGACATGGGCCTACATGGTTTCATGTTTGCTCTTCTGCCTTTTGTTTGTGCTTCAGGCCTATTCTTTTGAATTCCTGTAGAATGTTTTAGAGTGGTAATGGTTACCCTGTGCCGTTAAATGTTGGAAATATGAAGCTTGATTTGTGATGCTAAGGGATTGCTGGTTCTCATTATTCCTAATATTTTGTTGAGTTTCAAATGAATTGTTCTCCATGAAAATAGAGCCATACTTTTCTTTTAGTGAGAAAAATAATTAATAAAAAAATCATATTGAACATATTTGTAATAAGTGTATTGTATATTCATGGTCATCCCTTTTCTACTTTTTAAAAACGTTACAAGATCTACTTTAAAATATTTATTTAAAAGTTATCACTCTAAATGTCTTGCAGCATAAGTGGTGGATAAGGTTTAACCTTTTTTCCAAGTGAATAACTCTCAGCACTATCACCAAGTAATGAGATTTTAAAATGGCAGAAAAACTTGGGACCTAAATATCTTTGTTTGCACTGACCCCAGGCTAGCTAAAATAACAAGTATCCTATTTAGTGGGCCGAGTGGAATAGAATCAATTTCTTTCTCATGCCCACATAGTTTGGCAAAGTTTGTTCCAGGCAGGAACAAAGCAACCCAAATTCCTTCCCTCATATACTCTAAACATCTTTAAGTGCCTTGTCTTCCTGTGTGGGTACAACACAGCCAAAAGAAAAAGAAAAATGTACTGAACATTGAACATGAAAAAAGACATACACCTCTATTTTCCTTACTGGCTAGGGTGAAACTGGATCACAAGGCCCAATCTCCCTTAAAAAGTAAGAAATTTAATATCCAGAAAAAAAGACCACTCATGCTCAACCATAGTCTATATTTCCAGCAATTTACTTAGTCATGAGAAGAACACAATGCCTCCAGGAAGAGACCTCAGCAGTCTTATCCAGCTCAAAATCTAGTGTCTGGGTGAAAAGGTATTTTCTCCATTATACTGTCTTAGAACATTTACTTGTGGAGCCAATAATGAAAAAAGCAGATGAATCACTTCTTCCTGCCAGTCAACATTAAATGTTAATGCAGGTAGGGGAAATCAAAGGAGAAACTATCTCACCCAAAGGGAAAAATGGAGATGAGTGTTGAATACTGGGATTTAGCATCCTGAAATCCACCCAGGCAAGAATTGTGAATTCACATCTTTTCACCACCCAAATGTTGCCCCAGATGTTTTCTTTTCTTTTTTTTTTTAATTTTATTTAAGGAGAAAAGAAAAGCAGAGAAAGGGTACAACTTATACAGATTTACAGAAAAAAAATAAACAGTAGGAAATCACTAGTTAATGGATTACATATTGTCATCTTAGAAATAATTGTTCAAGTCACAAAATTAAAGCTTGTAAAGTGGACATTCCAACAATGATACTGCAAACAATTCTGTTCAATGATCCAATAAAGCTCAGTGATATCATTTTCTATCTTATACACTTAAATATACATGCAGTTATATAGTTTAGAGCACTTTCTTTTCCTCTCTTTTGTACAATGACTGTTACACGTTTTGGGTTTTATTCCTCCCACGGTTCTTATTACTTTTTTGGAAGAGAGTAAAACCAAATGTGACATAACAGAACAGAGTCGGTCAAATCAAAAGGGTGGACATAATAGATAATGTAAAAACATAATACAAGCTGATCAACAATGGTTACCATAATGCCTCCCGCTATCTCTAATAGAATTGCCTATATCATCAGTTATAATAAAATTGAACAAAACAGTAAAGAACAAAACCGACAAAACCAAAACATTGGAGACATTGTAGGTCTTCAACCCAGATGTTTTCTTGTTAGCCTTGAGTCTACTCCCTTCAATGAGGTATTTCCTCTCCATCCATGACTGTGGACTGTCCTCTCCTTGATTAAGTAATATTTGCAGTTCACTTGGCAACTAAGTTTGGTGTTATGGTTCTCTGATACTTGTTTAAACTCTTTTGTCTTCTGAGATACAGCCTGTAAATTATGTGAGTTTGTATGATTCCTCAAAAATCCAAGATTTTCTATCACACTTGTTTCCAGTTAGTTCTATGTGCCAATAACTGTACTTCAAAATTTTTTTTCCTAGGAAAAACACTTTCCTCAGCTTTGCTTATTTATCTGATTACTTTTCTGATGTTGATTTGATTTTTTGTCCTTTTTCACTGTAATTTCTTGATGCTTTTTCAAAAAATGCATGTACATAGAAAGGTATTCAATCCTTTTTTTTTTTTTTTTTGAGCATTCAATCGTAACTTCATCTTGGCTACAAACATATATCCTAATGGACTTTTTCCTTTCAAAATCAACAAACTTTTTATACATAGTTTCTTAAAGTATCCAGATTTCTCAATCTTTTTTTTTTTGTACTGGGTATCAAACTCAGGACCTTGGACTTACCAGGCAAGTGGTTAAGCCACTGAGCTAAACCCCCAGCAGCTTTCATAATCTTGTAGATTCCTGGTTGGTTTGATGTTCCTTCATTTATGATTACAGAAAAGCCAATCGTTTCCCCTCCCCTTATGTTTCTTTTCTATTTCCCCTTCCCTCTCCTCTTATCCTCTCCTCTTTATTCCCTTTGCTTTCCTTTCACTTTCCATCCTTTTGCATTGTGTGTGTGTGTGTGTGTGTGTGTGTGTGTGTGTGTGCGCACATGCACCTCTGAGGACTATATGGAAGGTCTTTAAAACCAAGAAATTCCTCAATTTATTTTTTTGACATATGCAAAAAATATTGTTGCATTGGTAGATTATCCAGGCTGAAACTGAAGCTTTGTCCTCTGCCTCATCCTTCAACACTGTTGTAATTATAGGTGTGGGTCACTATGCCTGGCTACTATGTCTTTAACATAAAGAGATTTTTATGATACGATTCATAAATCATAAAATTCATCAATTTAAAATGTATATAGGGGCTTCAGCTAGCAAACCCTGAATGGCGTGGAGCAGCTTGCACTCTGCTCCATGAGCTGAAACTGTGTCTACAGATTTACATTCCATGGGGAAGCCTTAATGCATCACTCAGAGCCTGGTAGGCCGCTGCCCAGCATACCCCATTACTGGAAGATTCACTGGGCCGATGTGGGTCCTGCCCAGTGATTCCCAAGTGGCCTGGAGCCATCTGTGCTCTGCCTGACAAGCCAAAAGTATGCACAATGTTTTCCATCCCACAGGGAAGTCTGTGCACATCCCTCAGAGATTGGTAGGGCCCCACTCAGCACTCCTCATCACTGGAGGACCCATGAAACTGTCCCTTTTGGCATATTTGGGCCATACTCAGTGACCTGGAGTGGCTGGGAGCCATCTGCAAAGGCCTGCCTAATGATCTCCACTCAACTGGGGAAAATCCTGCAGTAGAGACAGATAGTCTCAGCTCAAGAAACAAGTGAGACCTGGACTTCAGCTTCCCTAAGGGAATATAGAAAAATAACAAAACAAAAGAGCAAAATGTAGTCTCAAACCTGCCCATCCCAAGCAATCCTAGGAGACATAGACATAGAAGCAAACGTAAACCATACATAGTGACTGAAGTAAAGAAATAACTCTGGAAAGCTATAAAAGAACTCAGATCAGAAATGATCTCCCTGCTAAAAGAAGAAATGATAAATGTAATCAAAGAAATGCTGAACACATCTAAATAAGACATAGTTAAAAATTAGAGGAACAATGTGAAAAGTCGGAAACCTTGAATGAAAAATATAAGAAACAAACAATGCATGAAAGAAATTCAAAGAGATATAGAGGAAATCGAAAATTCCATTGAAGGTTGGGAAAACCATCTCAGCGAAAGTGAAGACAGTCTTTTAGACCTCAAAGACAAGATTGCATCTAGTGAACAGGAAAGATCTTTAAATATAACAAGGAATCAGCATATAACAATTCAACAGCTGCAAGATGATGCAAAGAGAAACATCATAAGATTGATAGGTATGACCCTCCAGTTCTTTTTCCCATTGAATCTAAACACTGGGCTTGGTGGTTGTAAAGGATGAAAAGGAATGCTGAAACTGGCCTCACAGCCTTTATAGCCTGGTATATTGCATGTGGGCTAGTTTCAAAAGGGTTGAATTCTCCTTGAAGTATTTTCCTCATCAAATGATATACCAAAATGAAGATAATCTATTTTTTGTTTTGGAGAGAGGATTTTACTATAATTTGAACTTGAACTGTGTAGTTTTGGCTGACCTTAAACAGTGGTTCCAGAACTCCTGAGTGCTTGGATTGCAAGGACACATACCACCACAACCAGCCAAGGATTAAAAGACTAAATGTGGCCTAGGATTTAGCTTAGCAGCACAAGCACCTGCCTGGCAAGTGCAAGGCTGTGAATTTAGTCCCCAGTACCAAAAACACCAAGCTGTACAGTGCATGCCTGTAACATCATCCTTCTTGGGATGGGGTGGATGGAGCCTGGACAGGAGACAACTCTAGCTCAAGGCCAGCTGGGGAATTAGCCAGAGCCTATATTACATTTCTGTTGTCCACTGCCACCCCATTTGTTTGACTCCTGCTAAGGGGCTGTAACACTTGGGGATGATGGACTCATTCCACTTAGCCTGTCTCAAATTGAAGCCTGGGGATATAGGTTAGTGAAAGATCCCGGATTCTGCCCCCAATAACAGGAAACAAGGTGAACATCAAGCTACATGCAGTTGATGTAGCAATTGTGAATTATACTTGTGAGGTGTTTATCTCTTGATAGTTTCTATTTTTAAATGTGCAAGCAGTAAACCTGTTCTCATCTGATAATTTCTTAAGACAGAGTCTTGCTGCACCATGGTGAGCTGACAGATACCCACTACCACTCCCCGCACTATCCGTGGTTCCTAGAGTTTGCTGAGTAAATGAGATATAGGTATATATAAAAAGTTGTAGCCTTTCAGAACCTTTGCATTTGACCTGTGCACCTGTGCTCATTGTTCATGACATGGTTTGGTGTGTTGGGTTTGGTTACCATAAGGGTTAGGGGCTTCAAATTCTGCAGTGGCTGAACTCAGTATGATCTCTGTAAAGTGGGAGGTGGCCTAGGGGTAGAAACAAATAGGTTAGGTGCTTCAGTTCATGGATCTAGGATGAAACCTAATCTGAGTGGACATCTGTGGATGAGAAATGTGGATATGGGACTGAAACTAGTGCAAAAAAGAAAAATTGATAGGTATAAATGAAAATGGTGACAACACAAATTATGTCATACTAGATTTTGAAAAGCTGTTAGAGAGAAGAGACAGATCACCTGTAAAGGTAAGCCTATCGGAATCACAGCAGACTTCTCAACACAGTGAAGTCAAGAAGAGTATGAAGTATTTCAGATCCTAAAGGAAAAGAACTACCAACCCAGATTGATATACCATGTAAAACTATTCTTCAGAATTGGTGGAAAAATGAGATATTTTCACAACAAAGAACAGCTGCATAACTTCATGGCCACCAAAGTAACCCTGCAAAGGATACTGAAAGACATTCTAGATGGACCTAAAAACAACTACAACTCCAAGGACATCAACAGAAAAATGCCACTGAACGTGGCAGCAAGGTAAAGAAAAAGAGAAAGAACCAACAGCATAAAGGTCACATGACAAAAATAAACCAATAGATATCAGTTATAACCATTAATATAAATGGCCTCATTTCAACAATTAAAAGAAACAGACTGACAGTGTGGATCAAGAAACAACATCCAGTCAGATGCTGTGTACCAGAAACATATCTAACTCGAAATGCAACTCATAGAATGAAAGTCAAAAGATGGAAAATAATATTTCATGCAACAACCAAAAAAATCCGTTTTAATAAAATGTGAACTTCAAGGCCAGAATGATCAAAAGAAGTAAGGAAGGTCACTACATATTAGTTAGGGGAAAAGTTCAAGAGGAAGAGATAACAACCTTAAATATAAATGCAGCAAACTTGGGAGCACTCACCTATACAAAACAAATGTCAACAAAAATGAAAAATCAACTAAGCAATAACACAATTATAATGGAAGACCTAACACCCATTGACACAAAGAGCTATATCAACTAAACAGAAAATTGGCAAAGAAATAACAACTGAACCACACCTTTGAACAAATGGAATTATTGGATGTGTACAGAGTGTTCCACCCAACAACATCAGCATATACATTCTTCTCAGCAGCACATAGGACATTCTTTCATATACTAGGCCACAGGCCATGCTTAAGTAAATGAAAAAGAATTAAAATTATACCCTGCATGTTATTGGATCATAGCACTGTGAAATTAGAAATTAATGACAAAAGAAACTGCAAAAATAACAGAAACACGTGGAAATTGAATAATACACTCCTGAGCAATCAGTGGGCACAGAGGAAATTAAAGAAGAAATTAAACAATATCTATGAGCAAATTAAAATACAAATACAACTTACTGAAATGTGTGGGATGCAAGGAAAGCAGTCCTCAGAGAAAAATTTATTGTGGTGAACTCACACATCAGGAAAACAAAATGAACACAAATAACCTGATGCTACACCTCAAACCTCTAAATAAAGAAGAGCAAGTCAAGCCAAAAGCCAAAAGAAGGGAGGAAATTATAAAGATTGGAGCTGAAATTAATGCAGTTGAGACTAAGAAACACAACAAAGAATCAATGAATCAAAAAGTTGGTTCTTTGAAGAATATAAAAATTGACAAGCCTCTAGCAAACTTTATTTAAAAAAGGAAAAAAACCCTCAAATTCATGCAATAAAGAATAAAAAGGACAAAATCACTACAGACTCTGTGGAAATACAGAAGATAATCAATATTTACGTCAAAAAACTCTACTCTCATATGTTTGATAATACAGAAGAAATTGACAGATTCTTAGAAACTTATGAATTACCAAAGCTAGATCAATAAGATGTAAAACTGCTAAATAACTCAATTTCAATTAATGAAATTGAAAATGTAATTAAAACTTTACCAACAAAGAAAAGCCCAGGTTATGATGGATTCACAGTGGAATTCTACCAGAAATTCAAAGAAGACTTAATGCCAACACTCCTCATACTCTTCAGTGAAATTGCAAGGGAAATTGTAAGCAGTTCTCCTTAACTCATTCTTGGAAGCAAGTATTACTCTAATACCATAACCAGAGAAAGACCCAACCAAGAAAAGAGAACTACAGGCCAATCTCGCTAAAGAACAGAGGTTCAAAAATCCTGAATAAAATATTGGCAACCAGAACGCAGGATGTCATTAAGAAGATTATACACCATGACTGAGTAGGATTCATCTCAGAAATGGAAGGATTGTTAAACATATTCATATATACCTAAAGATAAATGAACTAGATTAGAACATACAACTACAACTGTAAACACACTCAGCCACCTTATCTTTGACAAAGGGGCCAAACACATTCACTGGAAGATAGATAGTCTCTTTAATAAGCAGTGCTGGAAAAACTGGCTCTCCATATGCTGAAAACTAAAACTAGACTCAGGCTTATCACATGTACTAAACTAAAATCTAAATGGATCAAAGATATAAATATTAAAACAGAAGCACTAAATCTGCTGGAAGACAAAGTAGGTATAAATATTGAAGACATTGGGGGAGAATTCATGAACAAAAATCAAACTGCACAGGAAATACTTCCCAGAATCAAAAAGTGGGATCTCATTTTAATAAAAAAGTTTTCTCATTTCAAAAGAAATCTCTAACAGAGTTAAAACAAAACCTACAATTTTGGGGGAAAAAATCATAGTTGATTGTTCCTTAGACAAAAGAATTCTGTCTAGACCATATACAGAATTTTAAAAAAATCAGACTCCCAAAACACAAAGACCCAATCTAAAAATGGGCATCTGAGATGAATACACAGTTCTCAGATAAAGAAATACAAATGGCAAATAAATACATGAAAATATATTCACCATCATTGGTCATTAGAGAAATGCACATTAAAACCATACTGAGATTCCATCTCACTCTAGAAAGAATGGCCAGGATAAAAAGATCTACCAACAACAAATGCTGGAGAGGCTGCAGAGTAAAAGGAACTCTTCTGTACTATTGGTGGGAGTGTAGACTGGTACAGCCACTGTGGAAATCAGTGTGGAGTTTCCTTGAAAAATGGATTGGCATTCCCATGTGACATAGCTATTCCATTTCTGGGCATAAATCCAGAAGATTTGAAAATATATCACAATGATATATGTGTACCCATGTTTATAGCAGCACAATTTGTAATAGCCAGATCTTGGAAACAACCCACATACCCATCAACTGTGGAATGGATAAAAAAGATGTGATAATTTTATACAGTGGAATAATATTCAGTTATAAAAAATGATCACATTAAGATATTTGTAAGTAAATGGATGCACCTTGAGACCATACTCATAAGTGAAATAAATCAAACTCACATATGTAAATCCCATATTATCTCCCTAGTGTTAGAAATGCTAAGAGTACATAAGAGACAAAATCCTCAATAAATATGGTGAAAGGGTAAGAATCTACTCAAAGGAGAAAAAATAATCTCTCAGGGAAAAGGAGAGGACAAAAAGGAAGGGAAAAGAAAAAGTATCTCAATTTGTATAAACACACTTAAGATAGCTAAAATTATTGTGCTATAAATTCTATTAGTTCTTGGAACAAAACATTTAACATTCTTAGGACTGGAACAATTTTGTGTATTTTTGTCTGGTGATCTGAGGAACACTTTTGAAGATCACTATGTAAAATAGCAATCTTAATTATGTTCCTACCACTTTGTTTTTTAAAAAAAATTTTACTTAAAGAAAAAAAAACCCAAAACAGTAAAAGGGTACAAGTAATACAGAATTTCAAAAAAATAAACAGTAAGAATTCACTAGTTAATAGACTACATATTGTCATCTTAGAAATAGTTGTTCAAGTTACAAAATTAAAGCATACAAAATGGACATTCAAACAGTGAGATTGCAAACAGTTCTGTTCAATGATACAACAAAAACTTAGTAATATGGTTATCTATCTTATACACTTGAATATACATGCAGTTATATCCTTTAGAGGACTTTCTTTTCCTCTTTTTTGCAATAACAATTACACATTTTGGGTTTTATTGCTCC